CGCCCGTGACTGGAACGTCTCCCGTAACAGGTACTGGGGTACTCCCATCCCTCTGTGGATGAGCGACGACGGTGAGGAGATTGTCTGCATTGGCAGCATCGAGGAGCTCAAGGAGCTTTCCGGCTACGAGGGCGAGATCAACGATCTCCATCGTGACAAGATCGACCACATCACCATTCCCAGCAAGCAGGGCAAGGGTGTCCTCAAACGTGTCGAGGAGGTCTTTGACTGCTGGTTCGAGTCTGGTTCCATGCCCTACGCTTCCCAGCACTACCCCTTCGAGAACGTCGAGAAGTTCGAAAAGTCCTTCCCCGGTGACTTCATTGCCGAGGGTCTCGACCAGACCCGTGGTTGGTTCTACACCCTTCTTGTCTTGGGTACCCACCTCTTCGGTGTCTCTCCCTTCAAGAACTGCGTCGTCAACGGTATCGTTCTTGCTGAGGATGGCAAGAAGATGTCCAAGCGTCTCAAGAACTACCCCGACCCTACCCTTGTCATGACCAAGTACGGTTCTGATGCCCTCCGTCTCTACCTCATCAACTCCCCCGTTGTGCGTGCTGAGCCCCTCCGCTTCAAGGAGGCCGGTGTCAAGGAGGTCGTTGCCAAGGTTCTCCTTCCTCTGTGGAACTCGTACAAGTTCTTCGAGGGCCAGGTTGCTCTCCTCAAGAAGGTTGAGAACGTCGACTACATGTTCGACCCCAAGATGGAGTCTTCCAACGAGAACGTCATGGACAAGTGGATTCTTGCGTCGTGCCAGTCTCTGCTCGAGTTCGTCAACGAGGAGATGAAGGGTATGTTATCCTCCTTTCTTGCTGACGTCCAATATCCCCCTTTCTTGCTAGAACCTATGCTAACAAATCAGGTTACCGCCTTTACACTGTCGTCCCCCGCCTCCTCGAGCTCATCGACAACACCACCAACTGGTACATCCGCTTCAACCGTAAGCGTCTCAAGGGCGAGAACGGTCTCAACGATACCCTCCACGCTCTCAACACCCTCTTCGAGGTCCTCTTCACCCTCTGCCGTGGCCTCGCCCCCTTCACCCCCTTCCTCACCGATACCATCTACCTCAAGCTCCTCCCTCACATCCCCAAGGATCTCCAGGCAAAGGACCCCCGCTCCGTGCATTTCCTTCCCTTCCCCGAGGTCCGCAAGGAGCTCTACAACCCCGACGTCGAGCGCCGCGTACAGCGCATGCAAAAGGTCATCGAGCTGGCCCGCTACTCGCGCGAGAAGCGCTCCGTCGGTCTCAAGCAGCCCCTCAAGACCCTCGTCGTCATCCACCACGACGAGCAGTACCTGGCCGACATCGAGTCGCTCAAGGGCTACATCACCGAGGAGCTCAACGTGCGCGACCTCGTGCTCACCTCGGACGAAGCCAAGCACGGCGTGCAGTACTCTGTCTCCGCCGACTGGCCCGTTCTCGGCAAGAAGCTCAAGAAGGACATGGGTCGCGTCAAGAAGGCTCTTCCCGCCGTCACTTCCGACGAAGTCCAGGGTTACGTCCAAACCGGCAAGCTCGTTGTCGACGGCATCACCCTCGAGGCCGGCGACCTGGTCGTCAAGCGCGGTCTCAAGGAGGACGACTCGTCCAAGAACCTCGAGACCAACACCGATAACGACGTGCTCACCATCCTGGACGCGGAGATCTACCCCGGCTTGGCCGAGGAGGGTCTCGCTCGCGAGATTATTAACCGTGTGCAGAGACTGCGCAAGAAGGCTGGTCTGCAGCCTACGGATGATATCAAGATGGAGTACAAGGTCACGGCTGATCCCGAAGAGACGGGCATTGAGAAGGTGTTTGATACCCAGATGGCCATGATTGAGAAGGCGCTCAGGAGGCCGTTGGATAAACATGAGGTTACGCATATTGAGGGTAAGATTCCTGAAGGCAAAGAGGAGGGCATCATTATGGAGGAGGAGCAGGAGGTTGGCAAGGCTACTTTCTTGTTGAGGTTGTTGAAGCTTTAGATCTGCTATGCTATGCTAAAAAGTAGATGTGATGTGATGCGGAAAATTTAAGCGCCGTCAAAATATGCCAGGTGTGGGTGGGATAGACTAGCTATGATCGAATGATGAAATGTCAAAAACGATTTCTGTTACCTTGCTTGCTTGGATGTACGTTGATGTGATGTCGTGGCTCACTCCATTTATTCTACATACCTAGAATAATGACATGATCACACAAGCTGAATGGGCAACTCCTAAAAAAGCCAATATCCATAGGCAAGGACACTGACGTACTGAAAGCGCACGGCAGACTCGAAGCCTGACTATCAGGGCCATACTTACCTAAGGTAGCAATAACAGATTCCATTTTCGGGGTATGTATTCGACAGGGGCACTGAAGGGCGAGATAACAGTTTACTTACTACTATAGCAGTGAATCCGTTCCCCAACATGCAACCTAAGTCGCGGGGGTAGGGTAGGGGCATCGAGATTCATCATCAAAAGGCGCCCCGGCGGAAACTTTTATGCTTACCACTCACCACCACTACCATACAATACAGGTACCCCGACCACTGACTGAACCACGGCATCCGTTCGGGCCGATATCCAAGCAAGCAAAGAAAAGAAAGCAGAAAGCGGGCAGTCCCGTCGTCTTGCAGTTTTCGACTTCCACTCCTGCCAAACATATGGATCTCTGGGGAATTTGA